AAGTGAACAGGTCCAATGTAGATCATATTAAAGATGCAATTTCTAAGAGAGCGATATTTTCAAGTGCCTGATATTTAAAAATTCAGTGACTTGTAAGCTATATTCTTCTTTACATACACATGGAATGATTAGCAAACAGGCAAATTACAACATGTACGTACCTTGAAAAAATGGCCCAAAAATCCTGCGTATTAAGGACACCCTACCACATACACATTAGACTCTACTAAATCTATTGATAAGGAGTCATAATCAGGCTGACCTGTAAGTGGGTTTAGCAATTTCAATTTTCTCTCTCTAGGGAGCAACTTTACATTCAGTATTTCCTGTGTAGCAGAAAAAGCTTTTGAACGACTGAGAAGTGTCACACTTTGAACAACTTTCTAGTATTAAATTTGTTATCAAAAGGCTACAAAATGGCAACAATTCCAGTAAATACACTTGAGAAAAGGGATTATTTGTAGTCGACCTAAATGTGTCTTCCCATTCGTATGATGTCAGTGGTACTAAAACCTACAAGATGACAAAATTTTGTCAAAAACCACTGAGAATGCTATAGAAATTGTACTTAGATACATCAAATTTGAAACACCGAGGAGAGTATAATATAATAATAATCACCCTCGTCCTCACAGTCTCAAAATTGTTACATACCTACAAACGTTTCAAAATTATCAGGAGATTATTTTAAGCAAACTAATCTCAAATTTGAGGAGGAGCATGAAAAAAACCCAACACATTTGTAGTTGTCAAAAATTCAAGTTTTTGTTATGGATAAAGATGTTTTAAATATCCTTTCCCCCATCCTCAAAGTGACGTTTCCAAGATCCTGCCAGCAAACGAACACAACTGATGCTAACTTCACTAATGGCAGGTCTTCACATGTAATTCCCTTCTAAGTAAGGCGTGTGCATATGCCACAGAGGGCGATGACCTGTGGATTGGACCACTTCACTGTTACTATTGATGAATGGATTTAAAGCCCTGTTTTCAAGAAATTCAATATACCAAGATATTCACAGACATATATGGATATTTCTGAAGACTAAACTCAAGGTTTATAAATAGCTAACTAAGGAAAGAGCACAGTTGCTTGTTTCTATATGTAGTTAACCTAGCAATCAGTCATCACCACATGGAGTAGACTGCCAAGTCCTATAAAACTTACACAACCAGCATAATTCCTGAATATAATGAAGCTATTTCACCCTCACTGCACTGGACAAACCTTTCATTAGCTCCTACAATATCCAGTAGTGCTTTGAGCTTTTCTGTTTTTACAGCATAACACTATTTAACATCAACAGTTTATAATGAGTGATACCATCTGAAGATATTTACAGTGACATCTGACATATGTCAAAGAAAGTAACTAAATTCTTTAACATACGATAATAACTTAAATAACACAGCTTCAGTGACAAAAGTGTTTTTCCTCTGTTAATTAGGGCACTGTACCTTACCATTTATTGTTCACTTTTCACTTATACTGACACTACCACTACAGAGATTATTGTTATCACTTAACTTACATAAGCTGCACTTCATTCAGGCATAAGAATTTGCTCTGAGGTTTATATTTTATTTAGATGTAAGATTTCCACAAAAGCTAACGCAGCATTAATCACAATGATAAAAATAGAAAAACAAAACAAAGCAAGTATGCAGTTTCTCAGCTGAAAACAAAAAGTTACTGTCCTTTCATGGGAAGTGAAAGGAATAACATTCTATGCTGCTATTCAGAAAGTATTTTAAAAATGAGTGTTCCGCTTTGAGTGGAGCAAAGTTCTTCACCAAATCTTGTAATGAGAACAGTAGATCCTAACATCTAAAGGCTGAAGCCTAATAATCAATATCTTGAGAGGAATTGCATAGATTTTTCATTTGACTGAAGCTACAGTGGTGCACTGTGTCTCAAAAGACTGCTAACTTATTTTAGAAGTGGTAAAATTTTTCCTCCTCTGTGGTGGTCTAAAAGGGAGAAAACTACACATCTTAACTTCTGTTCTATGCTGCAATTAATTTCTATCATCTGTATCTTCCATGTTGCAACTCTGCCATCAAAGACTGACACCTGGAAACTTATATACTAAAATAAAGACCATGACAGAACCGTGCGAACAAACTGCAACCATCAGAATTCTTTTCCAATAGACTGAGCACTGCATGTACTCAGGCCTTGCAGACTACAGAAAACACCCATCTCTTCCATGGCTTTCCTCTGGCAGATGCTATGTGGAACTGACAGTCCTCAAGACAAGCCCACTTTTACCCAAACAAATGCATCATAGCAAACAGGAGCGTAACTCCTCCATGTTGGATCATAAGCACGTACCAACCCAACTGCAAACAAGTGTCAGAAGGAACTCATGCAAACTATAGAGGCAACACAATGCTTTTTTTGCTAAGCGATGACTCCACCTCTTAAACCTAATCCTCTATCTTCAAAAGACGAACCTGGAATACAAAATTTACAACACTACCACATCTTACAACTTGAAAGAAACTTTTTTTAGTGCCACCTGGAAATTAGTCCCACACATATCCCCCCCTTTTTTTTTTTTCCCCAGAACTCTCACATGCAGGTATTTTTCCTCTTTCCTTTACTCCTCCATCTCCTCCAGGAGAATGACCTTATTTTCTTTTAACTAATATCCTTCTCTATCCCAAAGGCAAGGTCTTTCTTCCTCTGGCCCCACTATCTCACTCCTTGATATAACAAATTAAGTTCCAACCAATTGTTTTTCAGCTATACTTCACCTGAAGCTTGTGCTTCGTGTTTCATCAGCAGAGGGAAGACGTCCCTAAGAGCTTCTTGCCCAGCCAAATATAAAGGTTTAACTTTAAACCTACAAATCCTGCCTTGCCCGGATCCTCAGACTGCTATGGCTACAAGACCGCATTAGATGCATATGGCCATTCAGATAATTTAAAAGTTGTAACTATTCTTGCATTTCTACATATTCACATTTCCAATTAAAAACAAACCACCACCCCCCCCCCCCAAAAAAAAAACTGACAAACCACCAAAACCCCCGCAAAACAAACAAAAAACCCCAACCCCCAAAAAGCAATCCAGATTTTCCCTCCCACTTACTCATGCAATCAGAACTCATGCCCTGCCCCCAACATTTTCTGCACTGGATTACTGCAATATTTCTTTATCAAATGTTCTCAAATTATCACTTCTATTCTACTAATCTTGGCTTGTTGGCCTAACTGGCTGAGTTCCTATACTAGCCTCTATGTCCACCTTCACCTCAAAACAGAGTTTCTTGGGCTTTTTTTGATTTGTCCTTTAATACTGGAAAACAGCTATTGAAACCCATAGTTTCTTCTTAACTGTTATTTAAAATCAAGTCTTATTATTTCTGTGTGGAGTAGAAAATAGAATTTTCCAACAACTAACCAGGAAGTCTACCCTGTTTGTCGTCTTCTCCTTTCCTCTGCTTCCAATTAAAAAGAAACTAGAGCACATCAACACATCAGGTGTTTTTCTAAGTCTTCACAATACACACTTACACATCATATTTTATTCACAGCTCTTTTGGACTTAAGAGACACTAAATAGCATATAAATTATCTCACTGTATATGCAAGACCTCAGTTCAAATTGAAAACATATAGGCACTAGCATACCAAAATATTTACAGCAGCTACAATTAAAAAAATTGGTAATAACCTTCAGCATATTCATCACCTCGCTTCTTTCCTGGAAATCCACTAACAATTAGTAATTTATTAACAAAAGCTAATTTTAAGTGTCATATGCTATTTTTTATATTCAAATATTGTAACGATTCCCAACTACTTTCGAGTTAGACAACCTAGTTACAGAGAGCAATCCAATTCATAAATTCTAACATAAGGAAACTAATCCAAAATAGAATAAAAATACAAATGCTATTCTAAGGTGGGTTGTTTTTTTTTTTTTAACACGATGCTAGAAATATCATGTGAAGAAGGTATTCTCCCCTACGTTAGGATTCCTCTGACATTTCAGGGATGGCAAGCAAGTAGGAAAATATCCAAGGAGTGACAGAGATAAATGTTAACTCTAAAATTATTTGCTGGTAGCACAGTTCAAAGACTTTGTAACCAACACCAAGACGTTTTTCTTTAGTCAACATACTGTCTTAATATAAGCTTCATAAACATACCAATTGAAGGATGTCCTCGTCTTTTGGCATAACACTAAGCTCCAATATGCTGTCACTGAAAGAAAGAGAAAAAAAAAACAAACCACCGCATGTGAACTTCTGGAAAAGACTTTCAATTCTTGTTACAAAGATGATCCATTAACATCCACAGACAAAAACCATTCAAAAACTCCCACACTCAGCTATTCTGTCAAATTACTTTACACAACAGAAATAAACACTGATTTCCAGTAGTCTTAGAAAGCTAAATAGCATATAAATTATCTCACTGTATATGCAAGACCTCAGTTCAAATTGAAAACATATAGGCACTAGCATACCAAAATATTTACAGCAGCTACAATTAAAAAAATTGGTAATAACCTTCAGCATATTCATCACCTCGCTTCTTTCCTGGAAATCCACTAACAATTAGTAATTTATTAACAAAAGCTAATTTTAAGTGTCATATGCTATTTTTTATATTCAAATATTGTAACGATTCCCAACTACTTTCGAGTTAGACAACCTAGTTACAGAGAGCAATCCAATTCATAAATTCTAACATAAGGAAACTAATCCAAAATAGAATAAAAATACAAATGCTATTCTAAGGTGGGTTGTTTTTTTTTTTTAACACGATGCTAGAAATATCATGTGAAGAAGGTATTCTCCCCTACGTTAGGATTCCTCTGACATTTCAGGGATGGCAAGCAAGTAGGAAAATATCCAAGGAGTGACAGAGATAAATGTTAACTCTAAAATTATTTGCTGGTAGCACAGTTCAAAGACTTTGTAACCAACACCAAGACGTTTTTCTTTAGTCAACATACTGTCTTAATATAAGCTTCATAAACATACCAATTGAAGGATGTCCTCGTCTTTTGGCATAACACTAAGCTCCAATATGCTGTCACTGAAAGAAAGAGAAAAAAAAAAAAACCACCGCATGTGAACTTCTGGAAAAGACTTTCAATTCTTGTTACAAAGATGATCCATTAACATCCACAGACAAAAACCATTCAAAAACTCCCACACTCAGCTATTCTGTCAAATTACTTTACACAACAGAAATAAACACTGATTTCCAGTAGTCTTAGAAAGTAAGAGTAGAATAGAAATCTGACTGAAGAGTACATCTGTATTCTCAGCAAAACCAACATGCTGTCTTTGTCAGTTTTGGTTTTGGGGTTGTTTTTTTTTCCTTCCCTCTTCTTCTCAAATCCTAGGGTACATTAGTTGTTTGGAGCTTCTCAGACAAAACAATGTGGCAAACCTGTGAACACAAATTAAAACTTCTTTCTTTCTTCCATTTAAAGTTTGTTAGCACTCTAAAACTGCTGAAGAAATGTCATAACCACCACATCATGTGAAAAGTGGGGCAATAGCAAGGCAAGCACTGACTTACACCCTTCTGCTCCAATCCTCTCCTAGCAGAATAAACTTAAACATATTTAGTCAGTCAGATGACATCTGACATATGGATGAAAAACGCTTGCTATTTATAAGTGCTGAGTTTGTCAGTCTGAATTGCTGAACCCAACAGCAGCAGCAGAATAAAGATCCAGAAATCCAGACAGTTCAATCAATATAATTGAAATACAGGCAAAATCAGGACACCGAATGTACAATGTTTTGGTTATCCAGAGTCAAATATTGTAGAACAGTGAAACCCGCAGTTAGTATCTACCACAAAAAAGTATTTTCACAAGCAAGAGAGTATATGCTTGTAACACCGGATACAGAACAGCTGAATTAATTGTCTCACCTGGGGTAAGAGGAATACTCTGTTCACATTCACTAAATGTAACGTGGCTACAGAAGAGATGGCTTGTACAGACTATTTTAACTAGGCTGACAAAGCAGAAAATGAAGAGATTACAACTGTTATTCAGTAATCTCACATTACATGTCACAAGAAGAAAGGATATTTATACAAATTGACCGATACCAGCACAAGGAAAAAAGCATACAACCTAACTGGATATATCAAAGTAGACATCAGCTTATCTGTACTGGCCAGTACAACACATTTGCTGAGAAAAGACAAAACCAGCACAGAGATGGGTCACCAACTTCAGGGCACACAGAACAATCTATGAAAGCACTGAGAAGAACCTCAGTTTCTTGTTTCTGCATAAAGGGAAGTCATCTTCTCAAACATGTAACGTATGATTTATAAAGCTCTCTTATATGAAAAATATTTTTATTTTGTGGTTCCTTTTCCATTTGTTAGCAACTGCAGACATAAGGCATTCCAAAATAGCAGAGTAAGGGTATTTGGTTTCACAATCTTCTTAAACCATTATTCATTTTTTAAAAAAGTGTTCTCCAAGCAGCATAAATTATTTTAATTTTAAAACCAAAGATCAGCAGTGACAGATTTAAGTTTTTCTTTTTAAGTCTACACATAGCTGGGGGGAAAAAAAAAAGTTTTCAACAGTATTTTAAAGATTTTTCAGAATATTGAATTTTAAGAAACACAAAACTATGGACTTTTTAATGTGCCTTCACAATAGCATTTCCCACTTTGACTGAATGCATAAACAGGAAAACTATTTTAAATGATTCTTCAAATGTAGTGTCATCAGGAGCTGACTTTTGCCTAAACTCCTTCGTATGGATATTAAACTATTTAGCAGTTGTAAAACAAAACGAGAATATGGAAGAGATACCATAGCTTGAGGCATTTCCAATGAAGTGTTCAGATTTCATTTCTACGTGAGGGTAGCGTGTATGTGTAAATTGTACTAGGCAACTCACGGTTTGATAATATTCAATGCTTATTTGCATGAAGACGACTTTGGAAGTCAAAAATGTGATAAAGAGCACTGTTCCTCTTCAAGCACTTCTAATACGAAGGAAAGTTTCCTACTTATAATTTGACACAGAACAAACTATTTTCTTATACAAGTATTTTGTGCAGGTTTTTGTTGTTGTTGTTGTTTTTTAAAGAAAGGTATTAAATCCATTTACACAATTTAACACCTTTTTTAGTAGCCATCCAAAAGAGGGAAGGGTTGCATTCAGGAACAATTTTTTCATACATAATTCAAATAACTACTTAACTATTCTATTCCAGTTTGCCTGCAGAACCTTCTGGAGACAATTTGGATCTTCCTAGTTTGTATTTTGTGAAGTGCTCTCAGAATGTTTTTTGATTCTCATAACAGAAACAAAAAGTATTAGGGAATACTTTTAGTATATTTCATTATATAATGTGCATGCAAGTTATGAACTAGAAAGTGTTAGTAAGAACCACCACACAGAAAGTGGCAGTTTACACTAAAATATTAGATATGGTATTATGAATTCTCAGAGATATCTACCATGCAAATGACTTTCATTACACCTTTTGAGAGTCAAATTTAAATTTATTGACTCAAACTAAAACACTATGATGCACTGTCATCATAAAGACTATCTTTTGATGCATTATTTTGTATTAATGAAACAAATTCAGTAGCTAAACTCTGTACATTTTCTGCGTAATCCCAACACTTTCAAGAAGAATGTGCAAAGAGAAACAAGTGGGATAGAATTAATCATTCAGATTCCCCACAGTTAAAAAAAAAGTTGGGAATCAGAATCTGTTTCTTGTTTTATTTAGAACTATACATAATTTACAGAGTTGCCATTAGTAATCAACACATCTCCAAGTTGATTGTGTAAACAGATGAGAATAAATTCTTAATGGACCAAACTAACAACTACTGGTAAAGAGTGGGAAACCTAAACTTAAAAGTGATCTCACAACTAATCTTACAGGACATAGTTATTTCCAGCAACTCTTCTGAGGTGTGCCCTTCACCTTCCAGGGGAAATAATCAGTGTAAGCTTAGCTTTGCTATCTCCAACCAGAGCAAAACAGATAACATCCTAGACACAGCTTGAAACTTTTCTCAGAACAACATAAAACATGGCTGAATTATATCCCATTCATAAATCCCACTGAAATGCATGGGGATCATTTAATTTAAAGCAGTTAAGTTTTTATGTCTGCAGCATTATATAATGAGGACAAACAGCTACAATTGAACAAATCTCTAGAAAAATAATGAGCAACTACGGAAATGCAGCTGCAGGACTAATCTAATTAAAAAAATCTGTAAGTCCAAACCAAGTTTCATTGCCAAACAGCTGAACAATGAGTGTGTGGGGGGGAACTTTTGCTTTATATGTAAGAGAGGATAAAATGTGTGGTATCCTTAAAAAAAGTGTTCTGAAGATGATCAGAAAAATCGCAAAAGAATATGCATTTACAGTCATCAATATGTTTGAAAGGGTAATTAAAAACCATAATTAAAAATACAGTAATAATACATCACACAACATACTCAAACCATAAATGAAACTATCTTTAGTCATGAGTAACGGAGATTTCAACTGACAACTTAGCTTTTCAAAAAGCCTTTCAGCAAGTTGCTTGCACAAAGCCCACTAAAGAAACTGAGGTGTGCTGGATGAAAGATTAGCTAAAACACAAAGCAGAGCAAGAACTGCATCACCAGGTATTTTTAATCTGAAGAGTTTAAGTATATTCAAAAGTGAACTTGTGCAAGACCAACCTATCATGAACTCAAGTGATGCAGGTAACTTTTAGTTCAGCAAGTTCATAGACCAGGGATTTCTGGAAAGTGGGCTAGTATAATCTGACCACACATTTCAGAGTCTTCTCCTAAGAATCCACTACTGGATATTACCAGAGAGGATACAGACACAAACAAGACCACCAGTCTGACCCAGGATGGCTATGCAGATGCAAGAACAGCATTCTAAAGCAAGAAGGACACACCGTACTGTAATTGTTACTTGCCATGAAAGGGCATCACAAGAAATAAAATACTTTATGAACAGAACAAACTGCTGTGAGCTCAAAAATACTGTTTTCAAAGAATTAGAGAGTTCATTCTTTAGTCATATGAGAGTCATTGCCTGTAAACTACAAGGAAGATAACGCCTAATCTGGAGTCTCAGCTCTCTTTATGAAACAGAATTAATATTTATCTGTTTATCTTAAGAGGTTCAGCTGAAGACTTCCTGATGGTTATATTTTCTGTATAAAACACACAAGGATACACATGACCTTTTGTTATGATTTTTTGCGATGTATACATCTGGCTCAAGACAACAAATTGTTCTCCTCTCCTAACTAACAATAGCATCCCTTCATCTTCTGTCCACTCATGGAAATTAGGGGGACAGATGCAGCAGTGCATTATACCATTCCTGGCTGCACTGGATAATCACTGATAAGGCCTTGTCCAGGCGTCCCTGGTTTATCCACAGTGGGCAGGGTTGCATTCTGCTGGGATGGCTCGCTCCTTACACTCACGGGGCTGAAAATAAAACTTTATTCACAGGCAGACCTAGAGTTAAGACTCTCTGACTGCACAGGCCACTGGAAGATGTGATTGGCCTCCCTCTTTTTTGGATTAAGATAAGAGATTTCATTGACTGATGTAGCCGTTGGGCATGTAAAGTAATGTCCTGTGTCTTGGATATACACTATGGTACAATACTACTGTCAGTACAAATACAAAATGAAAAAACGATACGTGGCTAGTGTTATGTCCAGTAAAGGTTTTTAAAAAGTAGATAGATTCCATCTTTCCAGCTCTTGTATAGAAAGTACTAATGACACAAAACGCATTGCAGTCTACCTTGCCTGTCATACCTTTGAATACAGAGCTTTGTTATTTAAAAAAAAAAAAAAAATTGCACCTAGGATATGTGTATTTTGAATGAAATCTTGAATAAAGACTCCACTGAAACAGGAAGATCAGGATCTTATTTTTCCTACTTCTAACTGTAAGCATAACTAAGCCTTAATGCATAAAGATTCACTAAAACTAGAATGCGGCATGTGAGATGTATTTAGAAAACATTTTTCGATGCTGATCATAATACATCTTTTTTCCACATAACTCATTATTATGTTGGAAACTTGTTGCTATAGAACAGAAATTAACACCAAGAAAACTGTAAAAATGGAGGCAGATACGAAACTCGAAAACGAGTATCTGGATTCATATATGGACACGATTTAACAAGCCCTTGTGAGTTGCAGAAGCAGTAAATAGTATCATTTCCCCAACTCCATGCAAGGTTCGTAACTTACTACAAAATAGAGGAAAGCCGAGATGTACTGCAGATGTTTTGCAGGTGTGCACTAGCACTTTACCAGATATGCTGATTTCTAGTTACCAGATCTCAGAAGCAAGGTAGATTTTTCTGATTTTCTTTTTAAACTGACACATACATGTGTGGTGTATATATACCCAATCTGCCTATTTGAAGTTCAGACAGCCTTCATCTACTGCACTCAGTATGATTTGCTAACAAGGGACAAGTACTGACATAAAAAGACTGTGGCACAATTCAGCACACCCGTTCTCAAACCCTTCTCAGCATTCAGTAAATACATGAAAACAGAAGTAGTACAACTGAGTGTGTATTAAGGAAAATTTAAAAATACGGTGACTTTTTCAGAACCATCAATAGCGGTCATTTACTGCTTAGTATTAAAAAAAAAATGCATGGCACATAATTACATACTAGTATCTTACCTGTTTTGTATTAAAGCAATGACTTGAGAATATGTCTTCCCAATAACACTTTCTCCATTGACTTTTATAATTCTGTCACCTGTAAAGGGAAAAGTTATACCTTAAATTCATTTGTCTAGACCTTTTTTGGATCATTTTTATTTTGTACTTCTGTACCTCACAATAATTAAGATCACCAACATGTTAATTTCAAGGTTAGTCTTTAAAAATGAAAGAAAGAAGAAAATAAATGATGCACAATAGAACCACATGTAACCGTATACAGGATGCCAAGTTTCTACTCTTTTTCGCAGAACATTTTCAGATGTGGTATCTTATTCTAAGCTTCCAAATGAATCACCTAGAAACTCATAGAAAGAAAACCACAAGCAGGTGCAAGCTATACCAAAGACTCACTTAAGTATCCCATCTTCAAAATAAAGCTTTTGATGTATGGTAACATGTCCTGACAACTCTGCCCAATTCTTAAGTGAATTATAAGTAGACATTTCATTCCAGCACTTAACCTCAAAACAAAACCAAACTTTTCAGAACACTGCCAGGTGTAGCTGTACACATCTCCTTTAATAGCAGCAAATGCTGCAATTTTGTACTTCTCCCTTCTGAGAAATAAAGAACAAGTATTTTGAAAGGCTCCCATTTTCTCCTTCCTCAGAATAATCTGGGTCGTTTCCAAGACATTACTGCCACTTCAATGCATTTTGGACAGTGTAATGTGTTATTCTTATATATATAGATCAATCTTTAGACCCAACATCACTTTGTCACATTTCTCCAAATAGTTTGTTGCATCTTCCTCATCAAGAGCTTCGTATACTCTCATAAATTAAGTGGCAAATACATCATGTAGAGCTATTTTCAGCTTTTGATGAAAAACCCATCCCATTCCTTCACCAAAAATGGTATTTACTCATCTCTGACCAGAAGAGGAGAAAGGTATCTTGAATTTACTAATGACGAGAAAATGGTCTAAAGATTACAGATAGGGAGCTTTGGAAAGCTGCTGGAGAAAGAAGAACTGAAAGAAAAGACCCATGCAAAGTGAGCCAAAGGGAATGGCTTTTTCAACACTGCTTTAGAAACTGAAAGCCCTTTTTGTGTTTCTGGCCTGATCAAATCAAAGCAAGGAGAAAGCTGTTCACTCTGAATACTCAGCCTGACTTGGTGGCAATAACGCTCTGAATGCTTGTGCTCTGTGGAGGTTCCCTATACAGACCCCAGGGATTTCCAGACTTACCAAACCACATGGATCTGCTGACCGTCTTTAATTTGGTCTGCACACACAACGTAACATCATGCAAATAAATTGGTGTGCTATTTTCAACTTTATAAAAGTTTATATATACCCTTTTATCAGCTGGTTATGGCCCTTTTCCTTATCTGAAAGAACTCTCAGAGTTCATTGCTTCCTAAGCGATGCAGGAAAGGTTGGTGGCAACATTTAATGGCTGCTAGCAATCCACATGACTGACAGGCATCTGTGATGGATGACAAACCCTATCCCACTGTTGCATACACACAGACACCGTATGTAATTAGACTGAGAAACTGGACTTTTCTCAAGGAGACAACGTTGAAATGCTCAGTATCACAATAAAATAAATCCTTTCAAAAAGTTGCAGGAAAAAGAAATGCTATAGTTTGTGCCAAAAACCAGTCTTATTTATAAGCTCTGAACCCTGTCCTGCTAGGTCATATGGCAAGACTTCCTCAGAACACATCAGATCCTTCTCTGGAACTTCAAACTGGCTTCTTTCCAGGCTGTTTCAGAACTTGCCCAAAGATGCAGTTCCTTACTCAGTATTCCCACTAAAACCTGTAATTAGGAATACCTTTAAAGTAGGTCGTACCATCTTACCTATTCCTATGCAGTTTTTATTTTTCAAAGAAAAAAGTCTAGGTTACACATAGCAGCGAAACAAGCCTACTCGAAGCATTTATCCAATGAACCTGCCAAAAAACTCAGGTGGGACACACTGCAGAACAGCTTACATGGAAGAAGTGGGTGCAGGCAACTCTGCAAAATACAACTTTGCTCAGTTTCAGGTACATATAAAGGGGAAGGCCAGGGCCTGTAGTGCAAAAAATGGTATAGAAGCATGAAGGCTTTCTCTAATTGCTCTCTATCAATCTTGTGGCCCATGAAATACCTTTAATCAAACTAAAAATTAATCTGAATGTGCTTAAACTATCTCCCTTTCCACACACATTTTACTTCTTTATATTCTTGCACATACAGAAATGACAGCATGAAAATCAAGACATAGGAAACGTGGATCTGTTTTGGCTGCCTTTATTTCAGTATTTCTAAAATACTGATGTTTGTAACTGACAGATATGTTCTTTTTTAATGAAATGCCTTGGAGGTTAAATATGGGAAGTTATGATTGGGGGGTTGGACTAGATGACCTCTAGGGGTCCCTTCCAACCCAAAACATTCTATGATTCTATGATCTTTATAACTCCAAGAAAGATAAATTTTGCATGAGTATTCAAAAATACTTAGAACGAGTTGTCTTACATTTAAGGTACTGTAACATATTCCTCAAATTTGCAAGAGTATTTCAAGCTTTCTAGGCAGTAGCAAGCAGCCAGGTAGGCTCCTTAAAGAGAGCTCACTGATTCTGAGTAACAAAGTATCTCGGTTTTGGCTGGGACAGAGTTAATTTTTTTCCTAGTAGCTGGTATGGTGCTGTGTTTTGGATTTAGTACTAGAAGAATGTTGATAACACGCTGATGTTTTGGTTGTTGCTGCAGAGTGCTTAGACTAGCCAAGGACTTTTCAGCCCTCAGCTCCGTCAGGTGCACAAGAAGCTGGGAGGGGGCACAGCCAGGACAGCTGACCCAAACTGACCAAAGGGCTACTCCATACCGTATCATGTCATGCTCAGTATATAAGCTGAGGAAGAAGAAGGATGGGGGGGACATTCGGAGTGAAGGCATCTGTCTTCCCAAGTCACCATTACGCGTGATGGAGCCCTGCTTTCCTGGAGATGGCTGAACATCTGCCTGCCCATGGGAAGTGGTGATTGACTTCCTTGCTCTGCTTTGCTTGTGCGTGTGGCTTTTGCTTTACCTATTAAGCTGTCTTTATCTCAGCCCACAAGTTTCTCACTTTCATTCTTCTGATACTCTCCCCTGTCCCATTGTGGGGGGAGTGACCAAGCGGCTGCGTGGTGCTTAGTTGCCAGCCGGGGTTAAACCACAACACAAAGCTTGGGTTGAGATTATGGGTATTACAGAGGACCCTGCAAGCAGTGAAATAAGAATTGACAAACATACATAAGTACCTAAACTCATTAGGTTTTCAAGTATTTCCTTTCCATTATCGTGACCATGAAACAAAGCCAAGCTGAATTAAAAAAAAAACCAAACAGAACACCAAACCCAGTTAAATCTACTGAATAGGAAATGTATACAGTGTCTGTACCAGAAGTTAAGTAATCTACCTTGCTAATCATTCCCTGAGTGTTTTATAATAGAATTTCAAGATAGAGATATAGTAATGTATTTCACCCTAAAGTTTTAAACACGAAATAGTGGCATAACCTAATTAGATATAACTGCTCTCAGCAGTGCATTTAAGAATAAAATTCTCGTAGTTTAAAAGTGTATTTTCTCCTTTATTTTCCGCTCTTTATTCTGGGCCCCTAAAAAAAAAAAATCTTCTGTGCCTAAAAATAAAATACTCTCTACAGATTTCATCTCTTTCAATTTGGCAAACACTGAACAGAATAGAAATTAACATGGCTCCTCTGTACAACTTCAACATACGCTACTCTTCATCAAGACAAAACATTTCTTTATATAATAGCATTAAAATAATGCCAAAGTAGTCCTTCAATATCTACTTAAGGAGTTAAAAAAGAAAAAAATGCCTTATGCTGTACAAGTAGGATCTAGTACTGTTTTTCAATTGCAATCATCCTAGAATCTTTGCAATTCTTTAGGAAGAAGCATACAAAAATTACTCTATTCCAGTCAAATGCATGTACATAACCATTTTCAAAAGAAAATATCAACATCCTGTTATCAACACAAACACAATCCTTTCACAGAATGTATGTTTTGCCATATTTTTAAGAACAGAAATCTGTGTTGACAGTGGTAACATTGTTTTTACACTTGTAAGACTCCCATTCTAACATAGCTTTTTTTTTTCCTTCTAGTAAAGGTGTGACAAAGTACCTGATACTTCACAAAAAACATGTTTTCTGCTCTCCAGTTTGATTAAATCAAATAACTGAACAAAATTTGATAAGAAGAGATAGACTTGGATTGTTACCATTTAATTTAAAGGAGGTAGAATAATTTAATTTAAAGGACCAAAACCTGAATATTTTGAGGCTATCAATTTGTCACAAAGCACAAGAAATCAGAACTTGCAGGTGTCATTTTCCTTCCTTTTCTCTTTCTCCTCACATATTTTATCATATAAGTGTTCTTACTTTCTTAAAGATACTAATACAAAAAGACTTCAATGCCTTAATGTATTTTATACCTCCTGAGGGAACACAATGGTGCTTTTGAGATGAAAAACAGTAGACAAGTTAAAGGTTTCAAAATTCTGAAGGGAAGAACAAGATAGAACTATATGTAGAAGCTTAAATCATATATATTTTACATCATGTACACAAACATGCTACCAGTGTTCTAGAGGAACAGTACCTGTGCACAGTCCAGCTTCAAAAGCAGGTCCACCCTCTTTAACTTGTTTAACAAATATGGTATCCATTGGCTCCAGTCTATTTCTTTGTTTTCCTGAGGAAGAAAGAATATTGCTTAAAAGCATTTAATTATACGGCATTACAATGTTTTTACTTTAAAACTTATTTTGAAATATAATCTTGCCATGTAATCCTGCCACATTCATCATTACATTAAATACTCGAGTTCAATTTGGGGTGGGGGAAGGAAGAGAGACTGCGAGTCCTAAAGACAGCATTTCATTTGGCTACACTAAAGAACTTTTACGTGTCCGGGGAAAAGAGAAAGGGGAGGGGGATGGAGAGAGAGATTTATCTCTTAACTTAAACTCGCTAATATATCCCAGTAAGTGTTATTTTTCAGGTTCATTTCATCATCTCATTGCTACTTCATCCTCGTGTGATGCCTATGCTATTCAGTAAGAATCACCCCTTCTTCTTCTAGATTGTTATCTGGTGTAAGATATAAAGCCAGAGAGAGTAAGAATTAGTGCAAACTGAAAAATGTATTTTTAAAAACTTTCCTTAGAAGAAAAAACATAACCTTGATTTATAGTCCTCGTGGAACTGTAACACTGATTTTCTCTTTTTCAGATGCTCCAAGACGGAGTCTAAAGTTTTCTTGAGATTTATCAAAATTCAAAAAGCAATTCAAAGTAAATCATGTCTGTACGTGCTGCACATATCCATATATACACAGTATAAATGTAGACATTAATCTAGAGTAGTTAGAAACCATAACACTTGTTCCTTCTTGCCTCCTCAGTATACACTTAATTTCTATGCTTCCAGAAACACAGGTATCTTGTGCTTTTACATACATGCCACCAAATCTAAGTAATTCTTAGCTGAAGTAGCCACTGCTTCCAATACTTCCAAAAATTGGGGGGTGAGGGGTGCATGGGAGGGAGGGAAAGGAAGGAGGGGGAAACAGGGATGACAGTGCAGTTAAAAAACAAACTAAAACCCCCACCCCCCCAAAAACCAACCACAAACCACCCCAAAAAAACCACACAAACAAAACCACAACAAAAAAGCCCCCACAGTTATACTGCAGGCTAAAATGCAATGATGCTGTCCTGAGCTAGGTCTGTATGCAGCTGGAGTAAGTTTACAGCTTTTCTAGTGTATTTTTTACGCCAGTGAGCTAAAAAAAACCAAAAAACCAAAAAAAAAAAACCCCAAACCAAAACAAAAAAACCACAAAGCACTGAAACACCACAAAACCCCCACAAACAAACAAAAAAGACCGAAAAATAAAATTTTCAAATTTTATGCCAGTCCGCCAGAAGACTGCACTGAACTTAATTTTGTCCATGGTGGTTTTGGTCTCTCCTGACACCCCTGTCCTACATGGTACAAAACACAAGCACTTGCAGAACGTCAAAGCTTACAGCCAGACAAGCTTTTATGGTGCCAGTGCTGGCTTCAACAGCTTCGGTCCCTCCCAGCTCCTATCAGGGCAGGTTTAGGTTGGACATCAGGAAAAAATTTTTTCACTGAAAGGGTTGTCAAGCATTGGAAGGGGCTGCCCAGGGAAGTGCTCGAGACCCCATCCCTAGAGGTATTTAAAAGACGGGTAGACGAGGTGCTTAGGCGCATGGTTTAGTGGTGGGATGGCAGGGTTAGGTTAATGGTTGGACTTGATGATCTTAAAGGTCTTTTCCAACCTAAACGATTCTACAATTCTATCACCAGTTATTACCCATGTAACCATACTCTCAGCTGGGCACCCTTTGGAGGTTACATGATGAGCCAGCCCCAGGAATTTACATGGATTGAATATAGGCTGGGTCTGGGTCCTAATTTACCAGGAAACCCTGGCATAGCAGAGAGGGTGGTGTAAAATGCAGAGAGAGCAGGAGAAAAATAAAAGGATTGCTTAAAACTGGCACTGCTGATAAAAGAAACACTCCCTGAAATGGGAGGATTAGGTTCTAATCACTTCCTCAGTGACTAATCTTTGACTTAGGCCAAATGACACCGCTTTTGGAAGTACTTTCTCTACAGCTTTAAATACCCCACTTGGCTATGTTTACTAAGCCACACCATTATTTATTGAATATACATAAGGTGCACCCCTTACCCTTTTTTTAGTTCTGTGTCCATACTGGAAAAGTTCATTATTTGAAGAATTTTAATAAATTGCAAAAAACTAGACTTCCCTCTGACTCTGATTCATATTTTTCAAATACAAGTTTTAGCCTAATGCCTTCATTCTGCAGACCCTCAGTGTCCTGCCATTTTACCACAAAACAGTTGAACAAAATGGCTTACACATACGGCTCTAAATGGCCTTCTCAGAATAACTCCAGATTGGTAGAAAATAATAAAAAAGTTGATTTGATAGAATCAGATAACTACTATATACAAAGGAACTGAATTATAAATCAAGAAACTCCAGCTGGCAGAGCAGTACCCAAATACTTTAAAATTTGATTAGCAGGACACAGCTACAAGACATACAAAATGCTCTTTGTGAACCAAAGCTAATATCCGTCATTTTTAATCTGCTGATTTAAATAGACACTGAACACACTCATCCTTCAAGAGGCAGTAATGTTTCAGCAAGTTTAGACAAGCTCCAAGAATAATCTACCCAGATGCCATGAACAAAATGTGTCTTCAACCACTTACAAGAGTGAAGTTAAAGTATGACCTTTTATAGGACCACCAAACACCCTTCCCAGCGTTGTCACTTAATCTCTTACTGAAGAGATTTACAATCCCAAAAGTGACAAGAAAAATAAAAAAAATAAGGGAGCTCCCATGGCATGTTTAATCTATAACATTTAATATCTGAAACTTATAACCCAACACAAAGGGCCTACCTCAGCTTCCTTTCCAAATGCTCATCAAAAAATGTAAGTGGCCTATGGCTAGTTTGCATAACTCTCAAATGCTACTTTATGCCTTTTCTATACCTGAACACATAAAGCAAGAGGTCAAGCAGATAAGCTTGGTCCTTTGTCCTACATGCAGAAGGAGGCTACATTGAACAGTCATTCTTCTTCCCAAAAGAGTGAACCACCACCCTAAAGATAAATTTAGGGGCAAAAAAATAGGATGAAAGGTCTAAAATGTTGTTTACATTTGTAGGTTCATTTTACAGCTCAGTAATATCCAAATACAAGTGAAGACAAGAAGAAAACCTAGGACTCCCAAGCTGTGATAGATGGATACACGCTCTTAATTTCTCCTTGGTCTTTTACATACTTGGATACAAACCAGAACTTCTTTCCGTTGGTAACTTTTAAACAGAACAGTAGAATTAAGAGTTAACATTTATAACTGACTTACACCGGGGGGGGTGGGGGTGTGTGTCACAACAGGAAAACTTCTCCTAAGTCCTCTAAACTTGACACAGAAAATAATTTTATCCAGGTACCAATTCAAGCTTAATCTCCAAAAATGCTGGTTTGGAATACAGCTAAATGCAGTAGCCTTGAGTTAGTTTTTAAGCTAGTCTTTGCAGACCAGACAGTATTACTATATTGCTCTGTGATTCATCTGGAAAACAAGATGACATGGCAGAAGTTGTATGATCAAATCTACCAACACACTACAAGATAGCAGCAAGCACATCACCGCTCTGTAGTCATTAACCTTCCAATATAAAGCACAGTCAGACAGAAACACCGGAGTCATAAAAACTACACAAAGCACACCTCTCTGACAAAGAACCTTTACATTTTGAAGATGGGGGAAAAACAAACCAAAAGAAACAAACAAAAAAACCCCTCACTAAAGTACTATTGCTGACATAGCTCTTCCTTTCTTTTTGACCTGCAGAGCACAAACCTGCGAGCGTTTCGGTACACAATATAATATATACCTTCTTACAAAGTCCCTCCTAAGAATCTGCTGCTTAAAAACATGCCATTTCTCCTCTTCCTAGAGGGAAAAAAAAAAAAAAAAAAAATCTTTTCCTCAGGGCATCTGAACCATCCTTAGAAATCCTCATAGCACAGAAATTGAATAAAGGCTACAGTGTTTTGTTAACCTTATGGAGAATATTTTTACTCCTGGCCCTATGCTCAGCAGAGACATCAGGACTGACTTTCATTTTTATACTAAATAATCACCAGCCCTGTGAAACACATCAAATCATTAAATTAAGACAGGCTTTTATGTACATCTTTCTCTGACTCAAGAGCTTGGAGGAACATTCCTCTTGAACATGAAGATACAAGTATGCTTTTGGATATCCAAGGCATTTGCACTCCGTCGGTTCAACAATGCCGAGTGGCAGTGATTCTTGGGACACCTTTCAGGCAAAGGGAGGAGAAATATGTATGGCTACAGTGGGACAAATGCTTCTAGATTATTACTGAATCAAACCCCTGCTAATCATTCCCCAAGCTACTCAAAAAAGAGATTGCTGAAAGTGCAGCGGAACTTACATTTATTAACAAAGATTTCATTTAATTAAACATAAATCACAAGACTGTCAGGACTGCATTTAACTGAGTGTCCAACTAAAGATAATTCCGGATTTTATAATCTGCAAACTGAATTTCATACATAGTAAGCATTTCTCCACCAGCAATCCATTGCAGAAAAGGAGCCCAAAGGTCCCAGCCCAGCCCTGACAGACCTCATTTCACCCACTGTCAAGCACAAATTAACTCAGCTAAAAAACACTAAGCAAAATACAGTGCCAAGGATAATTCTCTAAAAGAGGTTGACAACAAGTAAAACAGCACTGTTGAGTCATTTAGCGGGGAAACACCTGGCATTCAACTCTGATACAGGAAAAATACATTCTGTTATTACTCAGAGTACCTCTGGCATTTTGATTAGGCAACTCAAGATGGTATTTCTTCTCATGCTTACTCTTGTCTTAAACCTCAACTCTATCTTCGGGGGGGGGGGGAGGAAGTGGAGAAAATAATCTGGCATTGTTATGCAAAAGATGTAACGCACTTTCAACTTCAATATAAACTCTCCGAAACTGTGTTTTCCCATTGCATTACTTGCCAATATTATGACAAAATTTTTCAATTCTCTCAAATCTAAAATCAAACCTTTTCAAGTTTAAAATCCAACCTATGG